GGAGCATTCCCTGCGCAGGGGCTCTTCGCTGCTACGCAGGACTGGCGAAACAAGGAGGAGCCCTGAAGTACCCACAGGCCTTGGGAATGTCTCGTTTGGTGTTGGTCGGCCAAGACCAGGAGATGGCTATGTGGATGGAGGCCTCAAGTCATCTAGCCCTGCCCTCCTCCATTCCTACCCAGTCATCTTCTCCGTCTTCTCTGCTTGTGTGCCTCTGTGTGTGTGTGCAATTAATCCAGGTTTCTGCTTGATTTGAAATCTTAATCACCTGGTGCTTTTGTTTGTTTGCTCTCTCCTCCTCCTCCCCAACATCTCTCTGATGGGATGCAGCCGCTGGCACGTTTGTGATCTGACGTGTGGCTTTCTGACCCCAGCCCTCCTCCCAGACAAGGTCACTTGTCCATCCTGCCCAGCCTCGTGGAAGCCAAATAGATGTGACCTTCATCTCATTACTGCCACTCTCAAAGAGAGAGGTGACTAACGGGGCTCCATTGTGCACTTCCCCATGAATGGTGTTCCCTTGATCCAAGAATAGCTCCCAGCCCAATTAGTTATGTGGAGATGAGTCACACAAAGCCAGTCCTGTCCAGCTGTAAAGTCTTGAAGCTGTTCCCAATTTGGTGTCGATCTGACTATCCTTGAACGGGCCGGGCGCTCTCTGAAATGGTCTCCTTACAGCTTGGCTCTGCAGCCCTCGCCGGGTGGCACAGCCGTCCCCGAGACGCTGCCCTGTCTGACTGACGTGGGTCTGGCTGCTCATCTCATTCCTGGTGACATCTGGCACTTGTAGGACAGAGACAACTGCAACAGCCCCTCCTCGCCCCATGAGTTCAGGATCTACCACCAGATAAGACTCCCAAGCAGGAGGAGGTTTTGATCTTGTTTTCCACCATCTTCCCAAACAGTGGAGACCACGATGGGCCAACCATGGGTCAGCTGCCCAGCAGGAAGGGCAGGTCCTGGGGCTGCTGGCTCCGCTGACCACCCGCTGCCTGTCCCTTCGTGGGAGTAGGTCCCTTTGCCATCGCGGGGGCCCCGGCAGGGCTGGCCGCTCGTTCGGCTCGGCTGGATGGCCTTGGTGTGTGTTTGCAGTGTGAGATGACATCTGGGAGGATGGCTCCGGCCGTGTGCTGTGCACCAGCCTTTGGGCAGCCTTGCCTGGAGACCTTCTGACCATGTGTTTGGTTTTCAGGGCCGCCCTGGCCTCTGCCCACCAGTGCCACCCACTTCCTCAGACCCTCAGTGTACTGAAGAGTACCCCTCAGGTGAGGGGCATGCACACCATCATCAGGTAAAGCCCCCGCCACCGCGGCCTCCTGGGGCGGGATGGGGCTTGGCTGCCCGCTGGGGTAGGCTTGGCTTGCTTTGGACTCCCAAATCCCACTTATGCCCTATCCCTGCAGCTTGGGGACACGGGACAGGACAGACGGTGGTGGGCCCTGCATACAGGAGCTGTGCTGTGAGTGCTCCGTGGTCTTGCCAACAATTTTTCTTCCTTTTACCTTAAAAATGCCACTGCAATTCCAGGCTCAGCCGGTGGACCCCGTGCTAACAAGATGCCGACAGCCAGACAGGGGTGGGGGCTGTCCCTCCCCACGCAGCCTCTGACCCCTGTCAGCATCTCCCGGGGCACATTTTGGGTCACAGCTTACCTTGCCTTTCCCTCCCCTCTAGAAACAAGGAGACCAGCAGGGACGAGTTCATTTTCTACTCCAAGAGGCTGATGCGGTTGCTGATTGAGCACGCGCTCTCCTTGCTCCCGTTCCAGGTGGGTTCAGGGGAGTAGCGGGGAGGATGGGCAGCAGGCTCCGTGTTTCCTTTCCGATTCCTAACCCGTAAGCGCCAGGGAGCCGGGATAGTCCTGGCACTGCTCCTCCAACCGTCCCTGTGTAGCAGCCTCCTAGATTAAAACGGGGCAGGGCTGCCCTAGACCCTGGAGCAGTGGCATGGCCCTGGGTGACAGCTCCTTGTCCAGCCTGGGTTTCCAAGGGTCCGGACCAGCCCGCAGCTGGCTGGCTGCCCGGTGCCAGGGCTCCGCAGAGAGCCCCGTCAGAACCCCTGCTAATGCTTCTCACGTGGTTTTTGTAGAGTTGTACAGTCCAGACCCCTCAGGGACAGGACTACGAAGGGAGGACATACAGCGGGAAGCAGGTAAGTCGAAGCAAAAGGTACTTACTATTCAACCTGCCCCGTGGGGCTACGCTGAAAGCCCTGTGGATGCAGGAGAAGGACACCCCTGCATTCTCGGGGCTTCCATCAGGCCTGCGTTTGGTGCCTGCTGTCATGAGTACGATACCCTGTGTCATCGGGACAGGTGGTAGGTCAGTGGCCGGGGGTGCCGTCAGCAATGTCACCGTGCCACTGCTGCCCTCCCAGTGAAGGAGGCAGCCTGAACCGGGAGCAGCACAACCCTCTTGGAAGGGACGTGCTTTGGGGTTTGCCCATCAGAGTCCCCCGCTGTCGAGGCCCAATGCCATACCGGCATGGTGTGTGCCTCCTGCACCGTGCCTTCCCGTTCACCCTCGCTGTGTGCTGCAGATCACCGGCGTGTCTATCCTGCGAGCGGGTGAGACCATGGAGCCAGCGCTGCGAGCGGTGTGCAAGGACGTCCGCATCGGGACCATTCTCATCCAGACCAACTGCAACACGGGCGAGCCGGAGGTAAGGCTGCCAAGGGCATCTCGTGGCGTTAGCCTGCATGCAGGGGGTCCCTCGGGTGTTTCCTGAGAGCTCTTCAGCGATCCGAGAGTTGATCTTGGCAGGGGGTGAGCGCTCGGAAAGCGAGTGCTTTGAAAGCTTCTGAAGTGGGCTTTGCCAGCATGTTTGTGCATACAGGCGCGGGGTTGCTGCCCAAGAGTTTGCACCAGCGCCTGGCTCCAAGCTGGCAGCTGAGGTCCCTAAGATAAACATGCATGAAAGATCCTTCACCTCTCTAAGGGCCCAGGTTGCTCCTTTCACCTTGAGCTTGCAGCATCTAAGCTGATCTGTCTTCCTCCCACCCAGCTCCACTATCTGCGGCTGCCAAAGGACATCAGTGAAGACCACGTCATCCTGATGGACTGCACAGTCTCCACGGGCGCAGCAGCCATGATGGCAGTGCGGGTGCTGCTGGTACGGAGGATGTTGGGCACGCTGCGGAGGGCGGGTGGTTCGTCCCCAAGTAAGATGCAAAACACCAGCTGCAGCCATGCTGAGGGGCCTTGCCCTGAAACTGTCTCTTCCTTGGGAAGGAGGGTGTCGTGGGAGCCAGCACAAGATGGGGTGACTCTGTAAGCAGGCGTTGACCAAGTCACCCCTTCCTTGTGTAGTAACAGCCTGGATTTAGTTGGTTTCTTGGTCCTGTGCCCAGTAGCCCCAGCTGGACACAGAGAGGGGAGAAGGTGGCTCCAGGAAGGCCCTCACATGCTCCGAGTGCCACTCCCTGGAGGCATGGGCCATAACCTGCCTTAGATACCCTTGCCCCGAGCTGTCTCTGTGCCTTTCCTGTAGGATCATGATGTCCCAGAAGACAAGATCTTCCTCCTCTCCCTGCTTATGGCGGAGATGGGTGTGCACTCAGTCGCCTATGCTTTCCCTCGGGTAAAGATCATCACCACAGCTGTGGACAAGAAAGTGAATGACCTTTTCCGGATAATCCCTGGCATCGGTGAGTATCTGGGTAGGAGTGACCTGCTGCAGGGGGATTTTTGGTGCTTCTGGCCCACTCGCCAGAGGAGGTGAAGCCCTGGTTGTCAGCAGCAGCTTAGATCTGGCCTTATTTTACCCACTGTCACTCTTGGGTCCTGCTGCTACGTGGGTGTTGGGACCAACGCGCGCGCTCTGAGAGCTGTTGGGCAGCCATAACCTTGTTGGCAGAAGGAGCCATTCCACGTGCCATGAGCCCCCTCCAGCCCCAGGTGGAGAAACTGGGCTGAGCTAGCTGTGTGCCTGCCTCATTCCCTAAGCTGCCACCTTAAGCAAGCTCATCCAAAACAAGCTCACTGTGTTCTTCTGTCCTCACCTCTGCTGTGCCAGGAAACACCCCTGCCACCGGGTGCGAAAACAGCCTCCAGGCTGCTCCACTTTAGCCGCTCCATGAGTTCTAGTGCCGTTCAAGCTGTCAGATAAACCTGCTTGTGTTTCCTTGCCTGCTGGGACGAGGGCAGGCTGGAGGACGGGTCCCAGGGCTCCCTGCGGAGCGGCACGGTGACTGCTTCTCTCTCTTTCCTCCCGCAGGGAACTTTGGCGATCGGTACTTTGGGACGGATGCTCCTCCCGACTGGAGCGACGATGAAGATGCTCTTAGCACTTAGCTGGATGTGGAGATGCCGCTGGCGCCAAGCAGCTTCAGCACCGCACCTTAACCCCTCTGTCCATTGCAGATTTCTCCTTCCTCCTCACCAAGCATAGATATTTTTTTCAAATCTTACATTGGAGGTCTAGGGCATATTTTTTCAAAGAAACACAAATCCTAGTTTGACTTTGTGGACGGTCGCGTGTCCCAGCATAGAGCGGAGTTAATTTATTTTAATTTAAATATTTGCCTATATAACTTATTGGAGATATTTTATAAAGAAAAATAATAAATTTTTTCTCTGGTTTTCTTGAATGGAGCCATTCTTTGTCACAGCCCAGGGTTGCCCAGAAGGCTTCACAGACCTTCGGGACTGCTGCCCTGGGAGGGGAGATGCTGCGAGCAGCAGCAGAAGAGCGAGACCCTGCAGCCGAGGAGCGGTTCTTACAGCTCTGTCTTTGTGCTGGTTACAGGCAGCAGGTGGTTGTTTCTCTTCAGTGAACACTGAAGCTTTCTCTTACACCCCAGGGAGAACTGGCCCTACGGGACGCGCTTGCTCTGTCTGATGTTATTGAGCCTTCACCTCATGGGAGCTGGTGGGGCCAGAGAGCATCCAGTGGCCTCTCTGCAAGGAAAGGGCAGACCCCCTCAGACCAGGGTCTCCTGCCTGCAGCAGGGCTGTGAGCGGGAGAAAAACCCACCACTCCCGTTCCCCAGCTCCCCCCGCTTGCTGCCTTACACCAGTTGACCTTGGCTGGTCACCAGGTGCCCACCAAGCCGCTCTGTCCCTCCCGTCCTCAGCGGGATGGCAGCGGGATGGGGCGGGAGAAAATAAGGTGGAAAAAACCCTCGTGGGTCACGATAAAGGCAGTTTAATAAAGCAAAAGCAAAGGCTGTGCGCGGAAGCAAAGGAAAGCAAAAGATTTATTCTCCACTTCCCATCAGCAAGTGATGTCCAGCCACTTCCCGGGAAGCAGAGCTGCAGTAGGCGTAGCGGTTGCTCCGGAAGACAAATGTCCTAATAACAAATGCCCCCCACTCCTCCTCCTCCTTTCTCTGCATGTCTACACCCAGAGTCCTTCCCCTGGGCTGCAGCCACCCGCGCAGGAGCTGAGTGCTGGAGGAGCCCAGTATCTTCTTTCTAGACCATGCTCAACCTCATGAATGAATGCCACCATCATCCTTTGTGCATAAAGCTCCAGCAGACCTTGTTTGAGCAGCGCCGTTGGCCTCCTTGAGGGAGACAAGACCATGTGTGGGTCTTGAGCAGGGTTTGCTCCCAGGGTCCACCATGGGGGTGAAGATTCCACAACACTTCCTTGGGGAGGCGGGGGGGTGGCAAAGCACCTCTTCTCTGCTCGCTTTTATGGCTGAGCTGATGTAATATGGCATGGAACATCCCTTTGGCCAGTTTCTGACTGTGTCCCCTCCCAAGATCTTGCCCGCCCCCAGCCTACCGGTGAGGGGGGATGTTGGAGAGACAGCCTGGATGCTGTGGAGCACTGCCCAGCAGCAGCCAAACCACCGGTGTGTAACCAACACCGGTCTAGCTCCCAGCACGCAGCACAGCGCTAGGGGGAAAATTAACTCCACCTCGGCCAGACCCACTGCAACCGGGGATGAAATTCCGTGCTCTAGATCCAAAAGAAGGGTTGGTACCAGAGGAGAGGCAGTTCTTCATATCTGCATGGAAGCTGAAGTTCAGGTCGGATCACGTCAGGCTTTAGCTCAAGAAGCACCGAGCCCCTGTTGCAGTTCGGCAGCCGAAGTGAAACGCAGCTCGCCCAAACTCCAGCTCGCTCTTGCTGAATCAGAGCTGCTCCAGACGTAGAGGAGCAGGTCTCGTAACCGTCTCCAGGAAGCTGTTAGCAGGCCAGAGTAACCTCAGCGGAAGGGGAGCCGGCCAGCCCCACGAGGTGGATTTAGTCAGAGGAGGCTGTGACCCCTGTGGCTGAACACAGAATATTTTCCTTTCCTGCGTGATTCAAAGTACCAACGCAACATCCTTGTGCTGGAGATAGACGGGACAAGAGGAGAAAACCTGCCCCTCGGCTGGGCGGCCCTGGCT